AAAGAACGTTTTGCTACAGCAAGACAAAATGAGTCCTGGCAATCAGTCATGACTGAAGAGGTGATGTCATCCCTTTCATAACTGGAGAAGAACTTAGAAAATGCTGCTGCACAACAGGTGTGCTAGTACAGATTAAGTACCTTGCTAGTACAGCAAGGCATGAGGCAGCATCAGAAGTGGCTATCATGGTCAAGGCAAGGAAAAACAATGCAACCCTTTACACAGCTTTAAAGCGCCATCCTTGAAGATACTATGAATACAAGGAAATACAGACAAGTAGAGATGCAGCACTCAAGTGTTCACTTTTATGGTTGTTCTGAGTAAAATTCCCTAGGTACACACAGAAACCAGATTCAGCAGGGCTGTTCTCTGCCCATGACCACTCTCTTTGCTGTGCGCTTCCTGAACATACCACTCTTTGCACAATTGGCATTTCTTCTCTCATTAAAAAATACAACTTGCCCCATTTCCTCACATATTTACAATCTGTTGCCCCATGAAGAGATTCCCTCTGGGCAAAGACAGCCGACTACAGATGTAGGAAAGGATTACCTCAAAATGATAAGTTGTGTTTGGCGGTGGCCCTTGCTATAAATCTGACATTCAGATTCCCAATACACTCCAAGTTATCTGAATGACTGAGTCCAAATCACACCTGAGCACACATTTATAACATAATGCCAGAGTCCCCTGAAACTCAGAAACCCTATGAGTGATAGCAGTGCATCAGTTGTGGTGTACTGATTCCATTGAGCTACACTGTGAAAGTTTGAGCTCTTCTGAACCTCCAAACAAAGGGAAAGCCACCAGGATGTGGCAAACGAAAGCCCATACAGCTGAACCCCCTATGTGTCCTGACATATTCCTTAATTAAACTCTTCTGCTGCACCAGGGCCAGGCTCCTTGCAGCACTACCAACTGGAATCTCTCTTGCGAACATCTTGCTGTACTTTCTGCTTTTCTCATGCCACAGCCATTGGACATGTGTGATCACTCAAGGCTCAGTCCTCATTCAAAAGCTGTGCATCCCTCAAGATGCAGAGGAAAGCTCGAAGAGATCTGTTCCTTAAAGAAACAGAGGAAGGCAAAGAAAATGAGGATTATATTTTGGGACTGGACATACCATTTTGGCTTCAATCCACCCACAATATGCAACCAAAGATAAGGACCTCCTAAGGACTATGTTAAGACTAACCGTAAAAATGGATCTGAATTATGGATCACTAAAAACATGACTTGATCCTAGAAGGTACAACACAACCTGAAGATCCTGCCTATCATCTGTCTTCAGTAAGAAACCAGGAGGTTCTGGGGTCCCTGAGCATTCAAATATCCCTATCCTGATTCCATCCTACAGCTTGGGTACACTCTGATCAAGACACTCTTGAATTGTATTTTATTAGTTTAAAATAACAACCTAAATCCTAATCCAGAATAAAGCACTGGAGTTTCCTAGAAGGAACCAGTAGTCCTAGACTCTACACAGCCCCAAATCTCCTTTTTTGCTACCAACAGCACTTTAAAGAACTTATTTACAGTGCACCCGTGACAGGCTGTCTGATCCAATTTATTCAGTCTTATACTTAAAGGGTTCAGTAGAGGCTTTGTCTGCTCAGATGCACAAGCCTGAAAAGTCACATTCTTTACTCCAGGGAAATGCAAGTCACGATTACAGAGGAGTTAAAGCTGTCCAGATGAAATCAGAATTGACCAGGACCTAATCCTTCTGGGGTGCAAAGTCAAAGGGTATTTCCTCCAGAAACAGGATTTGCAGATGCCTCGGTTTTCTAGTTTCAGTGCATTTTTATTAACCGGTCCTAGATTCTCTCTTCCACAAATATGTTTAACCTATACGAAGCGCAAATGAATGAACTTTTTATATTATTAGTAATATCTTGATGCAACAAAAATTAGGTACTTCAAGGTATTCTACATCTAGCTGTTCATGAAAGAAAGCAATACATGCAGGCAAATGACCACCAGCTCACATGCTGTAAATTAACAAGCTAAAAGGAATTGCAATTTAAAAATGATGATATTGGAGCTGCAAAAACATAACTGGTGTAGCCAGCAGGTCCCCAAAACCAGGAAAATGTCATTTTGGTTATAAAAGCTGTAGGACAGCCATATTTATAAGAGAACCTCACATACACAAACAAATATTTAACACAGACGATCTGTCCACTCTCTAATGCCCAACCAGTTTCCTGCTCTTAGTGCTTCCTCCCCTCTTAGCCCCTTCCACTGCTCTGTACTGCATAGCTTCAGTCAGGAAATCCATGGCTGTGTCTGTTATCAATGAACTATGAAGTCCTGCTCCACGAACAAACGCCACTGTGATACTTGCCAGCTCCATTTGAAGAAAATGCCCCAAATGTATCTAATTATTTTTCTGCATTGTTGCTTTGCAAGACAACTGTCTCGTACACAGAGGCATTAGCCTCCATGAACTGAAAGGGGGATCTCTTTTGAAGTAAGGTTAATGCAAAAACCAAACTCCAGAGCTTAGGTTTCTAACATTTCTCTTTGTAAAACACAAAGAGAACACAGTTGCTGTTCAGCTGCTCTCTCAGACAAGCTTTCAGCTGTGCTGCTCCAGAACTTCAGATTAATCTGTGGTCCAAAGCAGCCTTTCCCTTTATAAAATCTGCTCCCAATCCACAGTGGTTTACAAACAAAATGAGCCCAACAGCTTTCAGCTCATCTTTGAGGAGTGCATGTCCATGCTCAGCCCCACACCTCGGTGTGATGTGAGTGGTGCTGCCCCGGGGACAGCAGGGCTGACGCAAGCAGCAGTTCTATCAGGTGCACAGACCTGGAGAGCAGGCACCTCCAGAACCTTTCCATGCACTGTGACAGCTTCTAAAAGGGAAAAGGTTTGAAAGTTGATGAGCCTGATTATTTCTTATTACAGTGCATATTCCAGTGGGTAAGTCAGCAAGCAACAGCGAGTTGGCAAAGAGATGCTGCCTGCTGACTCTGCCTGTCTGCTTTCAGAACAGGGAAGCATAAGGCTCATAAGGGTATTTTCACCCTTCTTACTGAGCTGCTGGCAGACTGCACCACAGCAAAGACTGTCCTCGGGTAATAAACTCCTGGTCATCATGAAAAATCCTTTTCTGGGTCTTTTCTGCCCAGCAATGCACATAATTTACAATAATAACACACTGTGGGGCAGAAACAAAAGATGTTATCAACTCCTAATAGCTTGTGGAACACACCAGGATGTTCAGAGGTGGCACCACCTTATACGTCATGGTGGGTTTCCTCCTAAGTTTTACCTTTCAGGTTGTACAGCTTTTCTTAAAGAGCATTTAGAAAGGTAGCAGGAATGGATGACAGCTGGACATTAAACAGACCAGAAACACAGGTCAATTCTTCTTGAAGTTCTTTTTCAGTTTGTTTGTTTAATTGAAAGCATTTGATTTTTTTTCTCTTTATGACCAGAGAAGCTGCAGGGAGGCTGGAATCGGAGACAGCTGCACCATTTGGGCTTCACAATGAGCACATGTGCAGTAGGCATGAGTACAAAATGCATGCCCATTTGTCCACAAAGTCTGATGCGTTTACACACACCACAAAATGGACTCAGAATCTACACCGCCAACCTTCATCTGAGTCAACAGGAATTCACAGCACTCAATACATACGTGATCAGTTTTGCAGAATCACAGAATGACGTGATTTGGAAAAGCTACAGCAAAGTCGTTGAGCCCGACCTCCTGCGTAAACCAGTTCCACCCACAGACAGTCCCTCAGGGCTTCATCCAAGGCAAATTTTTGAATTTCTAAACGAGAAAGATTTCCCAATTTCCAATCCCTTTTGGCAACCCTCCTCTAGACTGATCTGTGTGTCAGCTCTGTTAACATGCTGAGATTCTGCAAGAACTGGACAATGCATACCCACAGCAACCTCAACAGTGACAAGGGAATAAACACATGCCTCAACCTGTTGGATACCCTCATACTTGCAATGCCTGGGATGTACTGAGCTGCCTCCAAGTGCATACTGCTCATTTCTGTTCCATTCCTCCTCCAAGACCTCCAGCTTCCTTTCTGCAGACCTGTAGGTTGAGTGGGGTTACTCCATACCACAGCGCAGGACTTTGCTAGACTTCACAAGGTTTCCATAGCTCTTTTCTCCAGCCTCCTGAGTTCCTTTGCAAATCCAGCCCTCCGCTCCACATGTGTAGCACAGAGTCAGTGCATGTGCCCTCTGCCTTATTACAGAGAAAATCTTGTCTAGATTTAATTGCTCCTCCTATTTTTGTGTGATTGAAGCACATAACTATCACTGAGAAAAAGAAATATCCAAGGAACAGTTTCACTTTGCCAAGTCTCACTTCTTACAGCAGGCCAAGAAGAATCTTCAGTGCTCTCACAGGTCCCACTACATGCTCCCTAGACAAGGGGCTGCCAGGCTGGCTAGCTCCCATTTCCTTTGGAATCAAATTACTGATGAAAAGTAGAGCTCTCTTTAAAAACACAACTGGTAAAACCACATACAAAACACATCCTCTCCTTCTGAAAATCTCTAGGCGATTTGCTGAATCAGTGTATTACACTCTTCAAACAGTAGCAGCTACAATGGCCTTCTTCAAAGTAGAAGTGCAAATGGTCCACAGAAAATCACATAAAATGAATTCTTTGAACAAATGTCGTTATCAGACACGTTTTTGTTTTTAAGTTTTATCCCCCTATAAACTAAACCTAATTCTTGCAAAGAATACTAAGCCTCCGCAACATTTTCATCTTCTGTTCCTTCTCTTAGATCATTAACTCTCTGGAGTAACAACCATATTTTTGTTGCTCATGAAATATCCATCAGAACAGCCATCTCTTCTGTGACCACAACTTCTAAGTAGCATTATATAAATATATATTCACTGCTGCCCCCAGTAACACAGATGGAATGATTTATGTCTGCCAGATTTAGAGTTTTATTGAAACAGCAGCATTCTAGCCAGGAGGTCCAAGATGTAAGCAAAGCAGAAACTTACCTTCTCTTGATGGTAAGCATTGCTCCTAAGAGAATAATAACAAACATCAGAAGCCCAGCTATAACTCCAGCCATTTTCACTGTGCTGTCAACTTGCTTTTCTGGCTCCACTGCATTGGAATTCTGGGTGGAAGCTCCTTAAAAGATGGAGGGAAAGGAGGGAGAAGATAAAGAGAGAACTTGTAGAAAAATCTTGCAACAATCCAGTTTTCATACTCATTTGAAAGCCTAAGAACATATTTGCAATTATATTGCAGCAGGCCATCTCATTTACTTTCTGCCTTTTAGAATGACCAAAGCCAAATTTCAGGGCAGTGTTAGGGTGCAAAATCCCAGGGTAAGGAACTAATATTTTGCAGTATTGCACTATATTCAGGAATTTAATGTTGTGATGCATTCAGCATACACCCAGAAGCAGAAGGATTAACAGCAGTTATAATTTTCATCCCAAGCAGTTTAAGTGAAGGTGCAAGCCTTACTCATCAAAATGGTGGGTGCAGAAGTTTGCAGTTGTATATCCCATAATACCACTTGCAGAAACTTTTTTTTTTCTTAAACCAGAACAAATTTGTATTTCTCACTATTTGGAAAGCCTGGCTCGTGTGACCACACCATGACAGTCACACAACTAACAAGCATCAGCCCAACTCACAGAGCCCCCTCCACATCGCCTCATGTATTCCATGCAGGAGTTCTTCTGTGGCTCAGGCAAGGAAACTTTCTTAAACAGCACATCCTACACACATAAAAATGACATTTACAAAGCATTTCTTCTTTTACTTATTTGTTATAATCTGACTTCAAGAGTCCTTAGCCCTGCAATAACGTAGTATGCATTATACACCTTAGCTTTACCAATGTTGTCACAGCTGCACATAATTTTTTCTAAATAACACTTAAAGCACAGAGCTCAATTTTGAAAGCCTTGCAAGACTGGAGTTGTGGGTAATCTGAAGACTAAGTCAGCCTATTTTTATTATATTCTTAATCTATGTAACTACTACTAAGAATAACATATCTGCATTTGGTGGAGTTAAGTGAATTCATGTTGCTTGAGATCACAATTCTGTCTTGGGCTTCACCTTTGCTGCTGGCATCAGCCAGGTCTTCCCCTGCAGATCAGACACGGAACAGGCAATAAGAGGTGAAAGCAGTGCTGTCATGAGAAGACAGTAATGCTCTGCTCTTTTCACAACTCTATTGCTGACCTCCTGGAAAAGCTGAACTACTACTGCTCATGCAGCAGCTGCTCATGGCAAGGATATTCAATTGAGCCCATATATTGGTGAGACAGTAGAAAGCCTCACTGTGTTGCTCTTCTGCCCCTTTGCCACTTGTTAGTATATGTGAGGTGTGAAAGATGAGTCCCATGACCACGACCACGCCATGTAATACAGGCTTGTGAGTATGTTCCGAGTAAGGCCCAAGCCAATGGACCTCCTGGGACGAGGATCAGATCTTGAATAAAGTATTACATGCTCCTCTCATCTTATCTTGAAGGGTAAACACAGAACAATGACACAATAAATGCAAAACACGAAAACTCACCACATGCAGTGATAAAGGTATGATTTCAGCTTTCCTAAAGCTAAGCTGTTAATCTAGTTTGCCACAGGAAAATCCAATATTTACCAAGCAAGAACGTTCTTTGCTGTTTGAGGCACACATGTAATTTTCAGCTTTCTGTCCCTGACAATTGCACTGCTCTGCAGCGTCCACCAATTTTCCCATTCACTTAAGAGCTCAGCAGTAACTTCTGTGTACACATCTAAAATACACTGAAGGGACTGCTGAGCAGGAAATAAAATAGCATATCAGCTGCATATTACCATCATTGTTTGACAACATCTCATAGAACAAATGTGTCCAAGAAGCAAGCTGTATGTCATTGCACAGGCAATCCTGACGCTATTGTATAACAAAATAAATTATAAAGGTACAATTTCACCTTGAAAATGGCTGAAACTCTGTTTGTTTGATGTGCAAATAAGTAGCATTCCAAATTACCCTTCACTTGTGTTGCAGTTACTCCTATGACCCTAAATGATAGGTGTTGGAGAATCGCTTACAGCCACGGATGGTGCAGTCAGACCCACCCATTTCTGTTCCATCTGAGTGCCCTCACCAATTGTGAGCCATGTTAAAAAATTAAAAAAAAATAAAAAATAAAAAAAAAAAAATCAGAATGTGCTGTCAGCTCCATCCTCTGATTCTCTGGATTGGTTTGATTCTGCCAGGCTGTTGCTTATTACTACAGGCAATGTGTGCAGAGTGTATTTTTATTTGATATTTCTCTTCCCGTTGTAGACTAGTGCAGCTCTAGAAATAGACTAAAGCCTCATTATCCATCCTGACACCTACACGCTGTAGTGACTGATTCACTCGGATCTTCTGTGCAACTCTTCCTATCTGTCTTGGCAAAGGCCAATGATTCCTTTAGGCTACTAGTCCAACCATTTGGAAGTTGTCTTAGCTGATAGCGCCGAGGAATTGATAATATGACAGTGCCAGTAATTTCCTGAGCCTTGCATTCTTAAATCTTTGCAATGAAGCAATCCCACAGAAGTGCACTGTTCTCTTGCCACTCCATTGTAATTTTCCTGTAGATGCCTAAACCTGCTATGGCTGCGCCACCACCATTTGGAGGCAAGGAGACCATGTCATTGCTGGGAGCAGGAGGTCCATGGGCTGTTGTGCAGTTGCAGAAGATGGCTTTTGCTGCTCCTGACAGAAACAGTTTAGAATTCAGTTCTGCTTCTCTCTGTCACACATGTGGACCTGAAATCTTCTGGGCACAGAAGCCCATAAAATCTGGCTGTTTCATTTCATAAGAATACCTTTAAAAATGCTTTTTTTTCTGAAAAACAATGTTTATATTCTGTTTACATCAAAAGGGAAAAACAAAACTACTATAACCAGTTCCTAGCAGTGACTTCCACCACATTTCCTAGGATAAATTGTTCCTCGTAACTGCAGTCTGGATGCCGGTACAGCAGGGTGCAGCACAGGTCACTGCTGTTATTGCTGTGTGTATTTCAGTGGCACCCAGAGACCCCCACTGAAGGCAGGACTCCATTACAGTGCACTAACACGAGCAGGACAATTTTCTGCCCTAAGCTTACTTTCTTAATAGGGAAGCTAAACGACAGACAACAGATCCCAAGAAGAGAATACCACAGCTCCCTTGACTCCCTGTCTGTGTTTTATCTACTAGACAAGTTACAGCTTTCAGGGATACATGTGTATGTATGTTTTGTATTTACGTACTGTACAAAATGCACTGTCCTAGAAGTGCAGCCAGGGCACGGATCTGACTTCCACAGGCACTGTCATTCACCCAGCACTCCATTACATGTTCATATCTGTTTGAAGACTGCAGTCCTTCCCCACTGACCCAGTCTGCTTTGTTGTTTCAGCCTTTCACGATTCCCAGAGTGAGATGTGGCACCTTGCAGACAGGACACGGCCCAAGCTATGTGCTCTTGGGAGATGCTGCTCCCATGTCACTGCAGAGATCAGAGCAAATGTGTTCTTTGCAGCCACTCACTCATCTCACCAGGCAGGAGGAGTTGGGCTTATGGCTCAGCGAGCAGCAATGGCTTCAGTAATTTGCTCACAGGCACCTGACATCTACCCCAGCCATCCCGTTGTGGGCGCAGACACCTGAATCCCGGACTGCTGCAATATCTGACTACTGACAAAATGGTTTGGTGCTGCACCAGATCCTCGGGCTTTCACAGCCTTCTGATCTTCCTGCTGCTCCAGATCCTGGTTAAAGCTGGCACTGCCCTGGCTGATAACTTAAGGATGGGAATTCTGAAATTCCAAATGAATCCCAGCAGAGAGGGCTGCCACTTGTATTCCAGAGTTAGATCTGCCAGATGATTTCTTCAGCTGAAAGAATTTCTGCCCATCAGGAAGAGCTGACTGCTGCTCTGAGCTGGGAGATGGCTTGCAAGTGATTCCAACAGCCAGAATTCGAGTTCTTGAAGAGGAGACAAAGCCTTCCTCAAAATACTGGGAAAGTGAAAAATCTTCCACTTACCAGCCAGTATTCATTTGCAGCATTAGACATTTCTAGACTGATATTCGTACCTACTTTAAATCCTCTAAATGCTCACGCAAGGTAAGTAATAAATGATGCTATCACCTTTACAGATCCGGAAAGACTTAAGAGGATGCCTTGGGTACCAGACAGCAGAGCTGAGCACTGCCATTTTGAGACCAACAGCCATCAGAACACAGCACCTTTTGTAAATGGGGGAAAGGGAGAAACAGAGGTAGGATCTGAGTGGAAGATGGCAGTCTTACACCTGGCAATTCAGAGACTGATGCACCTAAAAATGAGCAGTGCCAGTGTCAGGGATGCACAGACAATTACCTGGTGAAGACTAGGCTTGGTCTTAAAATTGTAACACCAAATAATTATTCCTATGGGGAGAAAACCACTTTTGTAACAAAAACTAATCAGAAAAATTACCTTAAAGTAACAATTAACCCAGAAAAATTAAGGAAAAATAACGGGTTAAAAGTCTTTAGGAGTTCAAAGAAGCTGCTCAATTAATCAGAGTAATTTCTTTGCAGCATATAATGGCTAGGCAGTGTGCTGAACGTAACAGACCTGCAGGCTGATTTCAAAAGACAATTATTCTCCTTTCACTAGTAAACAATATTTCCTATTTTTTTTCCCTTTCCTTTTACAGCACCTCCTTCGCAAGTAACCTTAAAATATTCAAAGTAACTTTGCATCTAGAATTATTTCCCCCTGTATTTGCAGATTATATCTACACCTCTGAAACTCAATCTTAGATAACCAGACACAAGGGCAGGCCTCTAACGACAACACCTCACCTTGGCTATGCCTTTGGTTGCTGCATTTCAGCAGAAAGGAGCACCACCACCACTCTCACTACACATCACATCGCTGTGCCAATTTTCCACCCCCAGTTACTGAGGTCTGCAAACAGCACAGGATTACTTGCTCTGGCTTCAGAGCACGAGACATTCTCATTTCTTTAAAAAAGCTCAAAAGGAGTGGAAAGAATGATGAAAGCCAAAAGCTTTCAACCATATTCTAAGTGGAAAGAGCAGCAAAGCAAAGCAGTCCTGGACAGAGACTGAGCAGAATTTATATGAG